CCTCCGGGACGAGGGATGTTTCTGGCAGCTCTTCTGTAAGCATCTCCACCACTTCTTCCACCGAACAAGCCACCAACCACCCCACCGCCATTGGCATCATCCCCTCCACCGAGCAGGCCACCAGTCAGCCCACGCTGCAGCCCTCCACCACCACCACCCAGTAAGCCACCAGTAATGCCACCGAGCAGGCCACCACCCCCAAGGAGACCTCCACTGAGGCTGTCCAGCAGCGTCCGCCCACCCGCGACAGGCCCACCGCTCCCAAGCGGCACGTCACCCAGGGCGCCTTGGAGAGCGTCGCCTTGCTGGAAGGAGCCTGCAAGAACTGGAGACGTTGCACACAGTCAGCCTTCAACGCAGCGCTGCTTTTGCAACCGTTATGACCTGCTTTTAGCCGGGACCGGCAGCTGCCTCCATCCCCGTGCACACACCGTTGGCTGTCGCGTTGCTCAAGCGCGGGTTGTGCAGGGGCTTGTGCTCTCCATCAATATCACTGTCTGTTCTAATTCCTGACTCCCTGCTGGTGTTTTTCCCTATCTATGGTGTAACAGAAAAGTGGCTTTGGGATCTTTTAAACACTAGGACAAGAGGCAACTCGGAGCAATCTGTCTGCAGCCTCTCTAGAAAACAGCTTTGCACAGTCCCGGGGTTGTGCACTGCTAAATCCTAAGAGCTGACGTGAGGTGCAGCGTGGCAGTCCTCAGCTGGGCTTACACCCCCTGAGAGGGGGGCTCTGTTTGCTCCCTGAAAAGTGGGGCCTCCGTCTAGGAGCTCAGCTGGCTAAAATTTTCACTAAGTAAAAAAAAAAAAAAAAAAAGACTCGGCATTTAGTTTCAGGGTTTTGCACGCAAGCATTGTGACCTGTCACTTCCCTGCAATATTCCCCTCCTGTTCCCATCCTCTGGGGTTTTGCCAGCACGGCGGCTTCAACCCCAGGGACCATCGTTCCTTTCTCCTGGGGTCCCACAAGCAGGAAGCTCATTGACTCACCATCACGCAAAACACCTTTATTGATCCTGAGGACGGCGTCTTTGGACAGCTGGCTCCGTGCTGGGGCCAGCAGGACACACAGGACGGCAACGCTCAGCAACTCGAACATGTTGGCTCCTGCTGGACACAGCTGAGTTTCAGGAGGACCAAAACTATCCACGCATTAGAGACACGTTGAGCAAAGAGATTTGGATGTGCGCAGAAGAGAGGGAAGGAAGGCAGGCATCCATATGCACATCTGCGGGCAATTTTTCAAGCCAACTTCTGCACAACGTCAGTGACTGTTTGCTTCTCCCTGCTTATGTGCACCTCGGGCGACACGCTCCTTTCCGTTCTCTGGTCACTGTGACATAGTTTTAAACTTCCCGGGTGAAATCATTACCAATAACCTATAGACTACACTGAGCTTCCCGCACTATAACCGCCCTCTGACTGCGTATGCAAATTAATGATGCAATTACACAAGCAAAGCACGTTTGGAATAAAGCCTTTCAATTCTTTTTTTAATGACATGCTTTTACCTCATAATAACAACAGTAATAATAAATTTAAGAAGCTACTGAAGAATTTAAGAAAATCCTTAATTTTTTGTGCCAAATTTTTCTTCAGAGAAGTGTTTTCATTTTACTATGTCAACTTTTCTACCTGATTTTTTCGGCTAGTCACCAAACATAAAGCTGGATTGCTTATCTGCCTTTCTGCCACTAATTGTATATTTTGCATGGCTTTTTCTTGCTCACCAGAGTATATTGTAAGGCTCAGAAGTTCAAAGGTGACTCTGCCCCCACCAACACCCAGTAATACCATGACGACCCTCTTTACCTGGTCTTAGCCCAAATTTCAAAGCCTGCTGTTGTTGCTCCTGTGGTCAGATCTTGATCAGGGGGAGACCTTTGAGCTGCCCAGAGCCACCTGGTCCTTGCGTCTTCTGTGCTTTAAAATGCAGGTACAGCAGGTCCTTATATAGCAAAACGCTGATGCAGAAAAGTGGAAAGATGCCTAAATTGTAAAAGCTGGGCTAACGGATTGAGCACATAAACCACCATTTGTGGTTTTAATATCTTCCAATGTAAATAATGATTGGTAAAACAGGGAAAAGTATTGAGCAACAGGTTACCGGATATGTCGTTATCAGCCGGAGCTGCTGCCCAAGAGCTACGAGCTGATCTGAGCCCTGGAAGAAACGCTGGGCTGGAGCGCCTGGATCTGCTCTTGGCTCCAAAAGAGACATTTTGGAAAATCAGCTCATCTCCAGGGGTCCAAGCAAATCCCAGCTAATACTTGTACTCAGGATTTCGCACACAAGCTGCTGTGTTGGCATCTACACAGACATCTGCAGGTAATTTTTCGAGCCAATGGCCAGGCAGCTACAGTGATTATTTAGTCGTTCCTGTTTAGGGACACCGTGGGCACTATGCTCCCTCCCTGCTCTCTGGCTGCATATTTAACTTTAAATGTCAAAATCATTACACTCAACTTCTAGAAAACACTGTCTGTCTCATCCTAATAACCACCTCCAAGCATACGTGCAAACCAGCAATGCGATCACACACAGTTCTTCAAAACCGGAGCTCAGTTACTGGGAGCTAATGAAAGAGCCGGGGTTAAAAACCCGTGAATTTTGAGTTTCCAAACGAGGCACAAGAGCAGTGACCTGCAACGCTGCCTGCCCTCCGGCTGAGTCTGCCAGGGGTTCTTCCTATTACACTCAGTAAACGTCCTTACTAAACTGGAAATGTTTCTCTCTGCAGGCAGGACACAAGCTGAACGTAAAGCCGTCCGAGGGGAGCCGGGCGCTCGGGGCGGCAGCGGGACCGCGCCGGGGACCTGCCCTTCGGCACTCGGCAGCAGTTTCCCGCGCGCTCG